AAGCGACACCACCCGAGTTTGAACGTTAAGCGGCACGACTAGAAAAAGCAATCTGGTGCAAACTACGATATTGTCGTCGTTTAAAAAGAAAGAGCATTTCCCTGACCATCGCGCTAAAGAAATAACCAACGCCATTGGAGTTGAGTAAAATTGTTTAAGCTGCACTTTAGATATAAGAATGTTTTGTTTACTGCACTTTAACAAAGTGGGAAAGCTAAGTAAGTTCCTAGTAAAACTGAATCTGAGCAGGCTTTAAAGCTGACCAGCTGCACTGTACTTTTTATTTTAATTGAGTAAAACTGTTAAAGCAGAAATTTATATTTATATTTTTCATTCAAAAAATGTGTTAAAAAAACAGCAGGATTTTATTTTTCACTTTTATATTTCTATTTTCATTCAAACAATGTGAAAAAGCAGGATTTTATATATATTGTTTCATTCAAAAATTGGGTAAAAAGAGTTAACTGCTGTGGTGGTATGTTTTAATAAGGTTACCAATAAGTCAAAGATATTTAATAGTTGTCTATTTTTTTCAATACTGTACCGAAAAAAACCGAACCGTGACTTGTGTACCGAGGTACGTACCGAACCAAGATTTTTGTGTACCGTTACACCCCTATCATTTATCTATTCGTATGCTCAGTACTTCCCAAACACATGCATTTTCACTAAAAAACTTCAGTATTGGAGTCTGGCTTTGGAGACAGCATCGATAGGTTTTACTTTCGGTTAAGTTTGTTGAGCATCTTCTTTCTAAACCTAACCAAGAAAGACAAACTTCTAACAGCTGGATTATACATGAGTTGTGTGAAAGTTTGCAAACCGATGATTTGATTTAGATTCACAGTTGTCAAAAGTGGTTGCTAATGACTTCAGTGCTTCAAGATGTTGATGAATTGGATGGAAATGGAATGAAATGGATTCTTTATTAATCGTGGAGGCATGTGAGTTTTCTGCCCCAATTCAACATAACACGGGGTGAGTAACTGATATACAAACGATCATGTGTGGGGTGAAGTATTGCTTTAAGGTAGAGAAGAACTAAACACAGGGTCCCCACACATTTTCATAGACAAAATTTCAAAACTTTTCCATGACTTTCCAAAGAGCCATGATAAAATTAAATAAAAAAATCTTGCCCTACTTGCCCAGCATTTTTCACATTTCTGATATTTTTTATATCAGATTAATCTCAGCTAACTGGCTTACATGGATGGGGAGACGGACCACAGGGAGGAAATGAAGAGAAGTTCATCATGGTAAACAAAACGTTGTAAGACGCATATTAGAGCTACGTTACATTGACAGCTTCCGAAAAAATTAGTAGTTATGTTACATTACGTAGAAGATTACTGTAACAATTTCATTACACACAACAAAATTCCATGACTGTTCCAGGCCTGGAAAATGTGATTGTGAAATTGCATGACTTTTCTAGGTTTTCCATGACCGTGGGACCCCTGTAAAACAGAGGTGTCAAACATATGGTCCAGAACTGGCCCACCAAGGGGTCCAATCCCCCCGCTAGATGACTGGACTACGAGGTGCCAGGTTTCAGGATCAAGTTAAACAGTGCTAACGTCATGTAAAAGTCTCCTTCAGAGGCTTTTCCACCCTGACCAGAACACAGTCCTCTGATATAACAATTAATACTTATTGTGACCATATTTAAAGTCATCAAACATTGTGCAAAAATATTCTCAATCAGCAGCTTCAGTTCAAAAGAATCTGCATCAGGAAATGTATGGAAAAATGCGTATGTAATGACAGTGAGCAGCAGACTGACTGAATGTGGAAACACTGACACATACTGTTGAAATTGCACTTCTTTTTAAGACATCTCAGGCTGTTTTGTAAAAGGATGAACGTCTACAGAAAGTAATTCTTTACACAAAAAAGGGAAAATACGAAACAGATGAATTCAGATGTCTGTCTAAGGTCTATTAGTTTTACTGAAGTCGTAGTTGAGGTTCATCTTTGTGAGCTGACATGAACCTGCTCTGAAACAGGATAGCTGTGCCGCATAAATTACCATGGTGATCTAGTTAAAAAAAGAAAGCCAGCTTCGTGACACTAGAAAACCTGATTTATAGCCCCAAAATAGCTGCTAACCCACTAATCTGTATTCATGCTTTGTGTACAGGCTCCTGATGTGTACATCATTAATCCGGGGACACATACAGGATGACATGTAGTCGTGCTTTGCAGAAACTTCCTTTACACACTGAAGAAGTTCACCAAGAGTTTTAAAAGATATATATAATTAACACCAGCAGGAGTAAACAGAGGACAGAGGCTAATGAGTCCTATTATTTTCTCCCACAGCTCAGGGTGTATACTTAACCTGTCCTCTTCCTCCGTACACGAGGTACATAATCCTGACCGGAATACTAATTGTTATGATTTCCCAGCTCTGAAAGACTCTGATAGTGAGCTTTGTTTTTTAGCGCAGGACGAGTGAGAGTGAATCAAAAGAAAAGAGGGCGTATTTTAATCATGGTCTCACAGCAATAAAGGGGAGGAAGAGAAACCCTCAATGCTGCTACACCTGCAGCAATCACTCCATCTGCTTTAATTGTTCTACATCTGCAGCATCAGGACGCTATGTTCACCAAACAGATTCTGCACATTTAAAAGGATTCTGGCTCAGCTCACGCTGGCCTTTAAGCTGCTTAAAACCCAACATACATTCTCTTGGAAAATTAATTGGTTCCTTTGGGCATGTAGTTACACACTTGGCCTAATAGGAAGGCAGAGACATACATGACGGACAAAAGGTGGATTCCAATACAGATCAGATATGCTTTAATTGTGCTGCTGTCACTTTCTGTATTCGTCTGAGGCGTTTTCAATGACGCACTGTCATAAAGCTGACTGTATTGATGCTTTTGAACGCAGGCTCTGCAGGGAATCTAAACCTGCTTGACGTATTGGGCATGACAGCACATTGGAAGCAAGTAATTACAGCATTACACGGTCAATTCAATTCTCACCGAGATTCACAACCGGCTGAGTGTGACTATGCAGGAGTTCCTTGAGACGACGGAGTGATTTGACTCTGAATATCGGATGAGGAAAGAGCTACGGTTAGTTCCAAATTCAGATTCAACATATGGAATTAAAATGGGATTCAGGTAGTTTGGTGAGATTTGGGCTAAGAAGTCTCATTCTTTAGTTAGGTGTTGCTCAACAATATAAGGTTTACGAGGGACAAAGTCTCTAAAAAATATTTTTTTCTAGCCAGGAATCCAGACAGTTTCCTCAACATCCACAGCTACACGTCTTTATAAGTAACCCATCAGTTGTCTGAGTGAAGGGACGGACAGCTTCCATCCAATCACCACAATAAATGTTGGCACTGTACGTTTCTGCAAACCATCGATATGTAACATCTGTGTGTTATTATGTAGGGGATATGATGAAACTTAACATTTCTAAAGCACTGCATAGTCACAAAACACACTTGGTTATGGTTAGGAAAAGATCATGGTTTGGTTTAAAGGACTCGCTGCTGATGGCACAATCACAACAGGAGATGTCTCGTTAATGTCTCTAACAGTAGTCTGCAGCTTGGCAGCCATCTCACCTATGTGTCACAGCATCCATTATCCCCATCCACCTTTCAGATAACAAAGTCAGCTCATCTAATCAGAATAATGTCACTTTAGAAATGTTATGATATGTATGAAACAAATGTGCAGCCAACATTTTCTCCTGGCGACTGAGCTGACATCGGCGCTAATGACCGAGACCAGCTCAGTCATGACAACAAGTCAAGTGAACTCACCGGCCAGCGTTGACCTGACGTCCAGCTGAGTTGAACGCTGTGTGTTTACATCCGCTTCCATGTGATCCCTGTGTGTTTCTGTGGAAGTCTCAGGCTGATACTGACACACTTCTGTCTGTGCAGAGAAAGACAAGATAGAAACAGGTATTCATTAGACAGCAGACATCTATTTTTAAACTTCAGGAAATCATATCAGCTATCTGGATGGAGATCAAACACAGGGGACTGGAGCCTATCTCAGCTGACATTGGGTGAGAGGCAGGGTACACCCTGGACAGGTCGCCAGACTATCACAGGGCTGACACATAGAGACAGACACATTCACACCTACGGACAATTTAGAGTCACCAATTAACCTGCATGTCTTTGGACTGTGGGAGGAAGCTGGAGTACCCAGAGAAAACCCACGCTGACACTGGGAGAACATGCAAACTCCACACAGAAGGGCAGAAAATGGAAATACTCAAGTAAAAGAATCTTAATTTGTGGTTCAACAGTATTTGAGTAAATGGAGTGTTACTTTTCATCACTAATTTGACATCAATAAGCATTAAACCTGGTTTCCTGGTTGCTTTCTAATACCAAAATCCTTCCATTCCTCCTTGTGCAACTTGTAACATGTGCCTCTGATACATTCAGCTGTGTGGCATCGTGACCACAAAGTGCATTATTTGTGCTCAGAAGGTCCAGATGGATTCAGCTCTCCCTCCTGAGCCCTGTGACCTTAGGGTATATATGAAAAATATGAACGCATCTCTCTGCAGCCCTGCCGGGCCCCCATAGGAGACCTTCAGATTTTCTGTAAAGATACTCAGACAATTTATGTCATCTGGGTGGCAAACTGCAATAAGACACAGCAGAAGCCTGTTGTAAGAGAGTCAGGACTGGAGAAATGAAACTCTATCCATCCGAGGAAAAATTTGAATAAATGACGTGTGCAGCATAAAATTCACAGTTTTTACCACTGAAATCATTCATCGTGTAGTAGAGCTCGTTGTCTATGTCACACTCAGGCGTTTATTGTTTTTCAAATGACAAATAGGGCAACGGTCTCTATAGGGCGATAAGTCGCCACATCCAGTTGCGCACGACTTGGTGACATCAGCGGGGACGAGGGGTCCTGAAAAATGACTCCAGCGTTGGTGTGACGACAGTGACCGGTGAGTATAAATGCTGAGAGGGGAAGTTATCTGCTCATACCTCCAGACTTGGCCTTTACGGGTCACCAACCGCAGCGAGAGGCTGAGAGCAACGATCATCACTGTGCGCTTAACAGAGGAGAGAGGAGACTTTGGATACTTCTCAGGTGAGTCTGGCGCACTTCAGGATAATCTCTTACACATGTGAGTGTCTTTTGTGGGTTTATGCGTTAATCTAATTTATTTCGGAGGTTGTTTGGGCAGCGTGGCATTCTTTTTGCATATTTTCTGTCTGTAAAACAAAATTAAAATGCTGCTGCTGCTGTGGTGAAATTATTCAAATCGTCTCCAGTGTAGATTGGCTTGCTTTAGGATTTCCAAGAACTTGTAACCGGTCAGAATTTAAGGACAACAGTCAGCTTAAATAAAAATGCTCTTGATGCAGTTTGCACTAGGTAAATTATCTCCTGACTGTTATACATGTCTTTTCAGAAAAATAACATTTCGGGTCTCAATGTAGAATCAAGTCACTTAAAAAATGCAGCTACTTCTGTGGATCCATGTGCTTAGAGAAACTTAAATTTAATCTCTTACATATTGTATTTCAAATCGACAACGATCTATTTCTTCATCAGACGACCAACTACATTACCATGAAGTCGACATGTCTGCTCATCCTGGCTTCTCTCGTGGTCTGCAACTTGACGCTGTCTGGAGGACAGGGCATCCCCGCAGAAGATGAGACGGACGGACGGACCATAGACGACATCATACTGCAGAGAGCAGAGAGTCTCCTGTTACGGTCCATCCTCAAAAAGATGCAGGAAGAGGACGACAGAAACGGTGCGTAAAGTATGTGTTGGATCAATTTTACAGGATTGATTTTAAGCAAAATAGTACCGTGTTCAACCTAAAAATGTTTTTCAGTTTTTAACCTGTCATTAAAGTCAAATTCCCACTTCTGTGTCTCGTGTTTTAAACTTAAAGTCAAAGCGGTAACATGTTCCAACCGTTTTGCGCTTTACGCGTACTTTTGGGTGTTTTTCACCATATTATAAATGTTCACAAAATGTTTGAAATTGTGTTTTCAAACATGACAATGGAAAAGAATCTTCTACCAATTTAATATGGCCCAAGGAATTTGGAACATCAGCTACAGTCGTCTGTGCGTAATTTACGCACGGCATAGACAAGTTGTGGAAACACAATTTGCTGTAATCTAAAAGTAATCTAAAAAATGTTTTTCCTCCTCCAGAGGGATCTTCCTCTCAGACAGAGTGGGTGACAAAACGTCAGCATCCCGGTAAAAGATACAACGAGGGTTTGGAGAAGCGCCAGCATCCGGGGAGGAGAGAAGAAGACGAGGATGGACAGTACTTGGATGTTGAAAAGAGACAGCACCCGGGCAAACGCGAAGACGAAATGCACTCGTTCATGGAGCTCCAGAAAAGGCAGCACCCGGGAAAGCGCACCACGATGGGACACATTTCTGAAAACCCTGTCATGCTCCTGAGTGAACTTTCAAAACGACAGCACCCGGGGAAGCGCTACCTGGTGCTGCACAGCAAACGCCAGCACCCAGGTAAGCGCCACCTCGAGGATGAGGACTTCGATGAGGACTGGGATGCGGATGCAGACGCAGACGACGACCTCGCTGAGTTGGAAAAGCGTCAGCACCCCGGGAAAAGGTTTTTGGATAACCCCAGTCCGGATCTGGGCACAAACAGTCCGTGTGACGTGTTGGACCCTACGAGCTGCACCAAGAGTTTGCTGCTCGACTTTTTAGACAACATTAACAAGAGCCATGCCGAGGAGAAGAGACAACACCCGGGTAAAAGGTTTGCACCCGAGGAGGATTTAGTGGAAGGAGAGTAGGGTTAAAGAAAAGTCTGGCGCGCGTGTAGTGCCGTACTGTAAACAAATTAATGTGTAAATGAAGTGACCATAATGAATTATTAAAAACGAAAAAAGAATTGACGTCATTTAACCTTTTGTGCCACAGTTTTTCTTTGGCCGACAGTTACTGTATCATCATCGCAACTCCTTTATTTGCTGTTGGTTTCTTTGGAGAGCTTGTGCGTAATTGTCCTCCAAAATGACTGTATCGCTGTAAATAGGGTTTTCATGAGAGTGCGTGCCCTATGTTGATCTTTATTTACCAATCCTTATTAGAATTTATTAGTATTTATTTCGTTAATTAGACTAATTAAGCTTAAATCAAAGTCCCAGGATGAAAGCATGGGTCTACTGGCTTTTGCGATGTCGCCTCTGTGAGGCAACACACGCTCGTCAGTACAACACATGCTTCAGCGAAAGAGGCTCTGCAGAGGAAATCCCTCCATTGGCTGATTTGTGTTCCATTCTTTTCTACTTATGTAAAATATAACGAATACCACAGCAAATAAAATGTGTCATTGATTATTTTTCTACATATTACTGCATGGATTATTTAACCTACTGTTGTAAATTGAACGCTATACCTTTGCCTTAACCGCCAATGTTTTTTGTTGGACAATAAAACGCATTGGTTAAAACGTATGGTTTGCTTTAGTTGCAGTAATTCCCGCCTGAGCGCACCATTAAAGTCTATTAAACTGTTTATTTAACCCAACAGGTCTAATTAGTGTGTGGTCCAACAAAGCAGCCACTCTGCCTCAGTCTCATCTAGAAAGATTAATTAAATTCAGCGGCAGCAGACAGAGCGTGTCAAGTATTCTCTTCTCATTTTAATTGGGCTCATTTCATCAGAGCAGCTGCCCACGGGCCTGATCAATATGTAAATTATTCATCAAGCACATGAGGCAGAGATGGAGACTTCATGGAGCTCTGCTGCAGCACACACAACTTACAGCTCCAGCGGTGATGCTTCAGTGGACTGACATTAGGCAGGCGAATGCACATTATCTGATACACAGGTGAATTATATTTCATGCATGAAGTGGAAACTGGAAATGCACCAAGGACAGGCACATTTATATAGAATTTACAGATGAATCCTTTGTGCATTTGGAGTGTCTTTCATGCTGTGTATGAGGTGCCATTAAAAAGTACACAAGCCTGTCTGAGAGAAGCAGGACACTGGTGCACACACACCAACACACACCTGTCGCTTTCAGTGGTATCCAACATTTTTGGCTTGTGAGCCCTCAAAATGAACGAAAAGAAGCATTTGCACACTAAAATCTGTGCAAAATATCTACAATAGAGCAAGCTGTCGGTCAGAAACCCTCTTCAAGGCACTCACTTGTTGCCTGTTTATGCCTTGACAAAGGTCTCTGACCAAAGGTTTGCTCTATGATAAAGATTTTTGCACAGATTTGATTGTGTGGATGCGTTAATCCATTCATTTTGACAGTTTTATTGCCTCAGCACCTCAGTTAAGGTGTGTTTTCTCCTCCATTTTTGAATCTCATCTCGTTTGTGAGCCCTCAAGATGAAGCAAAGTCTATACATGTGTCTGCTCATCACAGGTTGTATGTGGTATTTCCTTTAAGATTGTTTAATTTGAAGGAGTTTTAAAGTCCCCAAAAGGTAAAACTGCTGAGGAATTGACAATGCAAAATAAAATAAAAAATTCTTATACATCCAGTTATCTTTAGAATTAGAGTCCTGATATTTAGGATTGAAAACTGCTGACATAGTCAAACCAGTTTAATTTGACTGACTGAATAGGGGGCCCAGGGCATGAATGAGCTTTGGGTCCAAATTACCTCATGGCTCATACACATGGCATCTTAATGTGCTTTACCATAGAGCCCCAGAAACTGAAGTGTAGTCTAATAGCTTATACAACTAAACTTAAACTGAAATAGTCTTAAGTCCTAAAAACTAGCCCAGCCTCGGGGACCCACCTCAGGGCTTTCATCATCTCAGGTCATATTTTAATGCATATTCCTGGACTAATTTGCAGCTAATTAAAGTGTCCCAAACCATCTGACACACAATGAACCCAAGCCCCCCTGGAGCACTTTCCCAGTTGCACACCAACCTTGCATTTACTAAGATAAGTTAACTTCCAGCCCTCTCCATGAGTGAGGACAAACTTTTGTGCAGCATGAACTGCTCATGTTTGTTTCAGAGAGCCCGGGTCACTTAGTTTGCACATCAACAGCAGACAGAAGCAGAAGTGAAGGAAGAAACGCAGACACAGTGCCAAATGACACAGACCTACCTACACTGTGCTCCAGTGTTGTGATGCGGCGTCCTCAGCCGGCGTCACCCGGTTCGTTTCCGACTGGGATGATGGTGACGGAAGTGTGGAAGTGAAGATGGAGGGAGGTGATAAACAGTCCATGAGAGAACATAAACAAACCTCGGGAGGCTCTGAAGGTCAGACTGCGTATAAATAATAAAGGCACTGTGAGATTCAGGTGATGAGGTTGGGGAGGAAATCAAGTGTGGAGGAAGCACAGGCAAGGTGTTGCACGCGTGGAGAGGCTCACAGCGCTGCCTACAGGTGAGGTGAGGTGTTGAAACCGGAAATGGGAATACAGAGGATGAGGATGGAGTTATTATTAAAAATCTATGCGATGGAGAGGAAAGTGATTTAACCTACAATGAGGCAGGAAAGGGTGCACGTTGCAGATAAAAAAATAAAATCCATTATTGCGATTATTATTTATGACAATATTAATATTATAAATGATAATAATAGGCCTCCATCGATATCCATCCAAAAATATATCAGCGAAATTTAGAATTGATATCAAGTATTCTTGCACTTTCTGTCAACTAGAATTAGAAACCATCTGTCATTAGGGTTTGTAATCCTAGGTATTTTTCTTCTTTCTTTTTCCGAGGAAATCATACTTCCCATGGGTGAAAACTCACCAAACTTTGCACAAAGGTCCTGTCTCATGCCAGATGTCCTCAGCTGTAAACTCAAGCCAATAGTCCTGATGGTGGCGCTACAGCAAGCATCTAAAGTTCAAAACTTTGAAAATTCACAACCAATCAACCATATGTGCTACAACTTCACAACTTTCATCAAACTGTAGCCCAGATACGGTACTGTAAACATATACATGTAAATTCTTGCTAAATAAATCTTCATTGTTCATGAAAAAAATGACAATTCTAGAGTCATGGTAGATGATGGGTGGCAAATTTCAGAATTTTATCTCAAAAACTGATTTTTTGACAGCATTTTGAATTTTGCTCTAATGTGAACAATTGGAGTCAATGTAAAAATGGCAATTTTAAACATCAGTTTTTCACTTATGGAGCAAATCAATCATTGTTACAAACAAATTACCAACATCTCCATGCTGTCTAGATGCAATATGTGTATTTTCAGATTTTTGTTTCGATAACTGAATTTTTTACAGTGGTTTCAAATCTGCTTTTCCATGCATGGACGGCTGCTAAACCTGCACGTCTGGCTTAGTCAGTTTGTGAAGCTACACATGAATAGTCAACAACTAATTAGCTCAGTGAGATAGAAATTGATTCTTAGTCTCAGAGCTCGTGAGTTCAAGCCTCAGCTGATGCAAAAGGCAGATTGTCTTCCAATTCTTCTGCTTGTTGCTCAGAATTGCCTAAAAATGCCCGTACCCGACCCATTGCAGCAGCTATAATTTCTTTTGTCACTGTATACCAGAATATTTGGGTAGATGTTCAACATTATTCAAAAAGGCAAAGAATTCAGATGAAGACATTTAATATGTTTTGAGGCAATAATTTTATTTTTTTCTGTACAATTTTATTGAAATTACCACCCTCACAAGAAGAGATGGTAGGCGCCAAACCAGTTTTTTTTTTAAATCAAGAACTGCAACAGCAATAAGAGGCCTCGAGATTAAAAAGCAATTAAAACTAACAGTGTGTTCGATACACGTCTTATTGACTGATGAGACACTATCTTGAATTTATATTACTTTTTAAAATACATGCATATTTCTCTCTCTATGTATATGGCTGTATTTGAACGTTGCCTCTGTACCCCTAGTATGATTTTGTATGTACATAACATACATTTGTACTTAAAGTAATGAATTAAACAACAGAAAGAAAGAGCAGGAAGGCAGAGTGGGTACTAAATGAAGAAAGATCTATCATTACAAGCAGCAGCTCACCATCTCAAACTGACTTGAGAGGAGGTAAGAGACAATCTTTAGACACAGTCAGGAACCCTGTGTTTAATACTTTAGAGAGGGTCAAAGCAAATGGGCAGATGTGATGTGTGTGCAAGAGACTTGACTGAAAACTCGCATGGATTTTTGTGATACAGAGAGGAAGGGAATGATGGAGGGTGTGCTGTAATTGTTAAAGAAGACTTAGGCTACCTTAAAGAGCACTGGGTAAAGGTGAAGGCCAGGAATATTGTGGTATATGGAAATATGGTGATCATTTATTATTATAATAGGCCTACATGAGGAAGGTTAGCGGTTACTGGAAGTTTAAGTCATCAGGGTAGATGCCACACAGAGTGTTTATGTAAATGGTCTGAAATGTGATCATTCACTTGCATACAAAAGGAGTCATGCAGAAGTGGGAAGACCTTTAAAACAAACAAAGACAGTTGGTGAGTGAATTCGGGAGAAATGCCTCAATAGCAGAAGTGCACAGTATGATTAAGAGGATGGGCGGGAACAGAAGGGAAGAGCAGTACCCAGTTTTAAAGCAGAAGTCGTAGTAAACAGACTGAAGAGAATAATCTGAGTGATGGTGAAAGTGTTGTTCACATACACAGTTCAGGGAGACAACATCAATTTTACATTCAGTTTACACTATAGAGGCTCATGCACACCTTCAGTGGAAAATATCCATAGGTGGACAAAAGGGAATTCCCACAACTTGTCTTGTTACTTGCAATAAACTTTATTAGGAAAACATCATCAGGTAAATAAAAGAACAAAGAAAATTAAAAAAACATATATAGATAACGCCCACTGCAGCGAGGCCAATCAGAGACCATGCTCTGACAAAGCACTCAGTCCCACAGTCTGTGTGCATTCAGCCCAACAGAAGGCACCTCCTGCCATCAAATATGATCAGTGTTTGCAATACATATTTACACTGAATAATATAATGTTAAAAACAAACGGCTACTGGTAAATCTCAAACCACAACAACTCAAATTTGGCCACCCCACATACATAGCTCCAAATGGGAGTCAGGCAGTCGCAATAGCAATGATAAGAACTTTCTTTCAGTCAGATAATTTGAGAAAGATTCTATATTACATGATGCTGAGAGATCTTAAAGACGGAGCTTCATGAAAACTTTTGGTCATTTACATCAGGGTATGGGAGGAACGAAGGCAGCCAAAAACATGAAGGGAGGCTAAAATAATTCCTGTGAGCATTAAAATTTAATCTGTGAATTGAATCTGATCTGAGTGAAGAATCAAAAGAGAAGAAGAAGAAGCAGAGGGAGAAGAATTTTTGAATTTTTAGCACAACCTTTATAGCTATCACAAAAAAGAGAGATATCAACACAAACACCAGCAATCAACAATCAACACATCTTAGTTTTCACAAAAAAGGAAAAAGAACAGAACCAGCAAAGTGGGGGATGCCTGACCCAATAAAAAGTTGAACACCTGACACTTTGTGCGATGTTTCTGACTGTATTTGAACCCAAGAATAAAAACCTGCTGAGAGAAGACCTCACAAAACACTCTGAATAAATTCCTTAAAAGACCAAACAGTGAAATGAGCCTGCAACAATCTTGCATTGTCATTAACATTTTTAAAATCAGGCACAATCTTCAGGAATGGAAAAGGGTCATTATTAACAGGACAAAGGGAAGAGGAAGAAGAACAAGAGGAAAAAGAAGACGAAGATGAACAAGATCAAGAAAATGAAGAAGAAGACGATGAAGATGTAGAAGAAGAAAAAGATGACAAAGAAGAAGACAAAGACAATAAGCAGATGAAGAAGAAAATGAAGAAAAGGATAAAGAAGAGGAAGAACAAGAACAAGGAAATGAAAAAGATGAAGACAAAGAGGAAAAGAAGACAAAGAAGAGGAAGAAGAAGAAAAGAAGATGTAGAAGACAAAGGAGGAGGAGGATGAAGAAGATGAAAAAGAAGTAGAAAAAAGAAAAAAAAGATGAAGAAGAAAACAAAGAAGACGAAGATGAAGAATAGGAATAAGATGAAGAACACGAAAAAGAAGATGATGAAGAACAAGTAAAACAAAGAAGAAAAAGAGGAAGACGAAGAGGAAGATGAAGAATAAAACAAAGTAGAAAAGGAAGAAGGAGGAAGAATAAGAACAAGACGAAAACACGAAAAAGAAGATGAAGAACAAGAAAACAAAGAAGAAAAATTAGATGACAAAGACAAAGATGAAGATTTGAAGAATGAGAAAAAGAAGAGGAAGAAGATGATAAAGAAGAAGAAGAGGTAGACGGAGATGAAGAAGAACAATAAAAGCAAAGGAAAACGAGGAAGAAGATTTGAAATGATGGAGCATCTTCAGTGTGCGTTCCGTCTGTCTTGTCCCTCTTCTCTTCCCTTACCGACTGTGTGCTAATCACATGACCAGGCAGGGCTGCTGCTGTTGCAGCTGGTGTTGTCGAGCTGTCAGACAGAATACTAACTGTCAACCACGCAGTTATTATTGGATTAATATGTAAGTATAACGCATCCATCGTGTTTACAAGTCCTCGTGTGTTTGTTACGTGAAGTTTGAAGTTATTTATTCCCGTGTTTTGAACACCAGGATCACAGAAGCGATGACTAAAGAAAGCGAGGGCTGCTCCTAGTTAGCATCATGTAGCTAACGTTTCATTCTCTGCCCAGTGTCGGCTAACGTTACATACACATTAAACAATATGACTTTAGCAGTTGTTAGTTAGCATACAGATATCACACACTAATAAAATAGCGCTCCCTTACAGACAGAAACACGAATACGTATCGTCTAGTTTGTTGTTCAGTGACTGCGTGGGCTGGACACAAGCTGGGTTTAATATAAAGTCTTAGCTAGCTAACAGCACTTGTACAAATGTGGCGTCAAAACCCAATTTAGGGGCATTTAAGTGTGCGCGAGCCCATGTTTGATGTGTAGCATGTGTGCAACTCATAATATAGTCTGTAGTGATACTAGCTTGTTAGCTACGGTTTTAAAAAAGGTCATACAGCTTTTAAAAGTGGACAGTGTACGTCAGAATAAGGGCGTACATTTGAAACTTTACACCAGCATATTACACGATAATTAGCTAAATCTGTAAAGCTGTAATAGCCCCAGTCATACTCTATTATACAGTAATATATTTCAGCTTCGCAGTCCTGTCTGATTTAGTGTTTTGTATGTTGCTGAGGGTGTTTATTGCACTATCACGCCTGTCTTTCCATGTTCAAATCACATTTCTGCAATCTACCAGCCACTCAATAGATTGTCATTGTTTTTAGGCTGGTGAGTGAAGCAAATCTTGCAGCCACTTGCATAATTGACCAGCATTTGGCTGTTGGCTGGTTATGCAAACTTACTAGGTTTGCATAAGTAGTCAAACGCAATTGGAACTGCCATTCAAAACAGAATACATGTTTAAATTTCTAATCCCTAAAAATATCTTGACTTTAAAGTGTGGATGTTAAGTGTCTGTCTGCTTTGCCCTGCTCCTCAGTGTCCCAGGACTTTTCTCTGGCGCAATGGAGCTACTATGGGGTGTTTTGCACACCCCGTGACATGTGGACCGCAGCGAGAATCTCCCACCTTGCATCTCCTCAGCAACACAGTCGACCGCTGTCATGGCCTCCAGTTATCCACCCCCCTTTGAGGGCACAGGTGAAGTGAAGGAGGGCTTTCTTTGCCCACTGTGCCTAAAGGATCTTCAGTCATTCTACCAACTCCAAGATCACTATGAAGAGGAGCACTCTGGGGATGACCGCCATTTTGGGGGGCAGCTCAAAAGTGAGTCCCTTTGATTGTGCTTGGGGACTTTTCATCTTTACGTCATTTGAGTCTATTATGTTCTTGTGCAAAATGGGTAAAAAAAGTATTATCTAGTTTAGCAAAAAGACAGCATGGTGTTTGTAACAAGCAGTTTAAGCAGCACAATTTGAATTTGAAATAAGGGCACTGCAGTGTTGCACCAGGGGGAATTGTTGCCAGGATGAATTGGCAACTTTCTGCCACAGCCTCTCAGGGAAGGACAGTAGATGGAAGATGATGACATATGGTGAGGAAGACTCTTGGTTGGAAACAAAGGCATGCACAGGGGGTTAGCTCTCTGATTTGTATGCACTTATAAAGGTTAATAATGAAACTGAAAATTAGTTGATGTTCGTGTGGACTTGCAGGCAGTTGTTTCCTAATTTTCTTTGTACACAGGTTTGGTCCAGAAGGCAAAGAAAGCCAAAGACAAGCTGTTGAAGAGGGATGGAGATGACAGACCGGATACAGGCACTTATGAGTCCTTCTACGATCCCTACATGTGGGAGCCTCAGGAACTGGGTGAGACTGGAAAACTGGACTGTAAACTGGGTGGAAATAAATCTCCGCTCTTCTGTTTTTGTTCATTAGTTGCTTTTTATATCATTTGGATAAAATTATTTAGTGATAAGAACAACATTAAGCAGCAGCCACATGCTGATATCGTTTGGTTTCCCTTTCTCTTTGCTTTTGTAGGAGCGACCCGAAGTCACCTGGACTTCTTTAAAAAGCACCGGGCAGCCAGGATAGATCACTATGTCATTGAGGTCAACAAGCTCATCATTAGACTGGAAAAGGTATGCTTACAATAGCACAAATAACAACTCATTAACACCATGAATCTCATCCTGCTGTTGTTGAAATTACACTTAAGATGGGACGCAACTCATTTACTGTGAAAACTGTTGTTTCAGTTGACGTCGTTTGACAGGGTCAACTCCGATGCCGCCAAAATCAGAGGTATGTCCACGTTTTCATCACAACCTTGACCCCCTATCAGTTTATGTCAGAATAAATTGTTTATTATATATATATTAATGAGTGTTTATCCTCCTTTGTAGCCATTGAGAAGTCGGTGGTGTCATGGGTGAATGACTCAGATGTCCCGTTCTGTCCTGACTGCGGAAACAAGTTCAACATCCGGAACAGGCGGCACCACTGTCGTCTCTGTGGGTCCATCATGTGTAGGAAGTGCATGGACTTTGTCCCTTTACCTTTGGCTCGTACGTATGAACACAACCCTGCAAACTAGAGGAAATCATCCAGGTGAAGTCAGGTCTGTGTCTCAGTGCTGTGAAATGTTTGCTTCTGTGTGTTCACAGAAAAGCTGATCAATGGGACCCGAGAGGCCCTGTGTGTACCCGGAAGCCCCCTTCAGTCCCAGTCTCCCCCAGCAGGAGGTGGCAGCGGCAGTGGGATGGGCTCCAGGAGAGGCAGCATCAGCAGCCTGAGCAGCGTCACCTCCATGTTGGAGGAAAAGGACGACGAGAAGATTCGCTGCTGTCACCACTGCATGGACACGCTGCTGAAGAGACAGCAGAAGTTGGAGGAGAAGGACCACATGCCGGATGTGGTGAAACTTTACGAGGTTGGTGCATTAAACTGTCTCACACTTAAAATGACAAGAATCTCTACATTTTACAATCCGTCTCTTCTGTTCACACCAGCAGAGCAGTTGATTCTGTGTTATTTTTTTCAAGCTGTCTTGAGTTTACACTGTTCTATCCTTCCCGTCATTCAGTGTTTGTCTTTTGGGGTTTCCTGTTGTTCACTTGCTCAGTTTTTGTCTTCCTGTCAGAGGCTGAGGATGTGCATGGAGAAGGTGGATGAAAAGGCTCCAGAATACATCAGAATGGCCGAGTCACTCAAGTAAGCCCCATAAAAAGCAGCTATTTAATGAGCATCTGGATCTTTGATATGAGAGTGTTGCTTATTGTAATGAATGTTTGCTTTCACAGTGCCGGAGAAACCACCTACAATCTCGACACTGCTGCTGGACTGAGACTGGAAGTGCAGAAATACTACGAACTAATCGATGCCCTGAGGTAGATGTCGATCCTGAAAGACAGTTTCAAAACTGAACGGAAGTCTTTGGTCGTGTTTGTCAAGTATGGAGCTTTTAAAAATATCAAATGGTTCTGTTTTCCTCTCAGCAAGAAGATTTTAACACTAAAAGCAAAAGATGATCCGCCACCACATCCGAAGGCCCTCCAGCTGCAGAGGATGATCCGTTACACGGCCACGCTATTTGTCCAGGTGAAGTTCAGGCAATTCTCAACATAGAGACAAAGATATAAGCCCCATAGTGTCTCCCATCAGTATGTCTTCTACATGTGTCTTTGTCGTTTGATCCTTTCTTTCCCTGAATTCACCCATTTCTTTGTGTGTCCTGTTTCAGGAGAAGTTGTTAGGTCTCATGTCTTTACCCACTAAGGATAAATATGAAGAGCTGAAAGAAAAGAGGAAACAGGAACAAGAGAAGAGACTCCAACAAGAGAGACTGGTGAGACTGTGTACTGATACACTCTTCCTCATTGATAACAAGTAACTCAATGTTTAAAACTCATATTTCCCCGTTCAACAGGCAACCCAGGAGACCCTGAAGAGGAGGCAGGAGTATGAGAAAAACCGCCCCCCTCCCAGTACTAACGGAGAGCTGCCGCAGGCCCCCAGAGCTCCACGCATGACCAAAGCTGGTGGTTGGCTGCCCTCCGCAGACTCCGTCCATACACGCAGCGAGCACGAGGACCCCCTCCTGCAGCAGATCCAGAACATACAGTCATTCCTTCGCCAGGCACGAGAGGCCCAGAGGGCAGACGAGGTGGCCATGTTGGAGGAGAACTTGCGTCAGCTGCAGGATGAATACGACCAGCAGCAGACCAGCCTGGCCATCGTGCTCTCTCAGAAGCTGGCCGAGGAGGAGAGCATGCAGCAGGGAGAGCTCAATCGTCTGGAAGCCCGGGAGAGGGAGGATAGGGAGCGATGGGGCCCCGCCGTGGGCTCCACCCAGCCTTCCTTCACCTGGGAGAGGTCTCTGGATATCAGTGCAGCAGGGGGCTTCCAAGGAGAGGAAGACGCTGAAGCAGAGGAACTGACTCCGAAAGCTGAGAGGAGTCCATCCTCTGTAAGAGCATTCCCTGCTCTCACAAGCCAGGAGGAGTCACCTCCCAGGCTGAGGAGCTTAGGGGGGCAGGTAACCCCCCCTGGTGGTGAAGGACAGAACAGCACTTCCCTCAACCCTTTCGATGAGGAGGACTCTACTCCCATTGAGGAAGATCCATCCAATCCCTTCTTTGAGGACATAAAGAGGGAGCACAAAGAGGTAACCAATGGGAAGAAAGAATACAACCCATTCGATGAAGATGAAGAGGTCGAGGAGGACAAACAGGCTGAGACCGCACCTGGCAACCCGTTCGAGGAGGATGAGGATACTGACACAGGTAACCCTTTCCTGGAGGCCTCTGGGAACTCTCCAGAAGTCTCGACCAACCCCTTCGATGGAGACGATGACGATGAGGTCCTGCCAGACGTGGACATGATAGAGGAGGAGCTGCTGCTGCAGCAGATTGACAACATTAGGGCCTACATTTTTGATGCCAAGCTCAGCGGCCGTCTTGACGAGGTGGAGCTCCTGTCAGAGAACCTCCGAGAGCTACAGCACACCCTACAGGAACAGAAGAAAAAGAAGCACTGACACCTTCCCCCGATTACCTGCTACTTACCAAGTCCTGCAAGGCTAGCTCACTTTACATGACTCATGAGCCCACTGATTGTAGTGTGGGTGAGGTCTGCTGCACCACTAAAAGATTAGATTAGTCCCAAAATTAAATACATATGTAGAGCTCAGTAGCCTGGAGTGACTCCCTTAATTTCCACACATACTTTTAACCACTTATCCTGTACAGGGTCGCAGAGGGCTGGAGCCTTTCCCAGCATGCACAGTTTTTAAGTACTGCAAGTAAAAACACATTTGTACAGGCATGTTGCTGAAGATACTAACCCTGTTGTATCGGGGCAAACATGAACTATGGAAGACAGAAGAATGACATTTAAACATTTTTTTATGGGACAGCCAGATGGTTGAGTTGAGTGTGGCTGTGGAAGTCAGGATGTATGATTTGGCTCTCTGGTAGAAGCTGTGAACAAAGTCAAAATGTAATTGTGGCCACAAATGGGAAGCGATTTGATGCCTGTCTCAAAATGTATCGTTAAAACACTTTCAATATTTGCAGTAGTACTCTCTAAGATCTTTAAGACTTGGATGTTTAAAATCAGTGGAGTTCCCTTTTAGTTCCACTGATATTAGTGCCATCTTGTTTTAGCTACAACTTTATTTGTGTTAACTGCAGCTCCTGTTGTTCATTGAAGCAAAGCCAAAGAACCAAACCATGCATCGCTGTTCTAACTGCGCCATGACAAATTATGAAAACCCTCCGATGATTTAATGACACACAAATGAAATTAAAATGTTATGACCATATTTGGGCAGCCTAGTGTTTGAAGGAAACTGATCATTAAATAGTACCATATTAATCACAGGCTTAAAGGAATACTTCACCTACAAAATGCCAGTTTGTGTTTTAATCAGTCGTGCTGTGTTACCCTGAATTTGTGAGGAAGTTTTTTTTCTCGCGTGCCTCCACGGAAAATGGATTTATTGATTGATATATCAAACCACCTGTTACGAACTCTCACGCAAATCATTTATCCAGTCGTATGCGCAGTACTCACCAAACGTGCATTTTGCTAAAACCTTACTAGATAAAACTGTACTGAACTCTCTTTAAAGCCAGACTTCAATACTGAAGTTTTTTTTTTCTTTTTTTTCTAAACAAAAATGCATGTGTCTGGGATATACTGAGCATACTACTTGATAACGGAGACTTGGATAGTACTGCATGAGTGTTGTGAAGATACTGGAATTTCTAATTCAGATACAATACCTTAAAATATTGGTATTAGATACAATTTTCGACACCACAGGGAAAAATTGACCCATGAAATAATTATAATGAGGCTATAAAATGACAATGACTACTTCTCCTTTCTTGATTAGGACTGTACTTACCATTGGACTGTGTTAAAAATTAACAGTATTTAAAACATTTTTTTTACATTACTGAAAACAGTATTCTCCGTAGGGCCGTACCCGACTCAGAATTATGCCAATTGAACCCTATGTGGCTGATAAAAACAAATATTTGACTATTTGTCGCAGGTTTTTTTTCCATTACAGTTTAAGTGTATGAACCGGGTTCAGCAGGACGTTTAGTGTGACAGTGACATTTATGGAATATAGTAAACAAGCTAACTGTGCTAACGAGGGATTGAATATATGCAACAACTTATTTTTCTGACACTTGATATCAAACAAGAGTCAGAGACTTTATCGTATTCAGTTGCTGTGAGCTGTAAATTCACTTCTTTGCAGAAGTCAGAAGTTAATGTTATCTCATAGTCTCCCTCTGTGTCTGCAGCTGCCTTTACAGAAGAGCAGCGAGTGATAGAGAGAAGTCGGGGCTATAGGGGCACTGCACTCATGTGTCACCTCGCTATTGGAGAGAAGAGAGAGCAAGAAAATAATATCGCTTGGATTGATACTGAGGAAAATGAGTATTGAAACAGTTTAAAATATTTAGGAAAGACGTATCGACTAATCGATATTTCTGATGACAGTAACGGGTTGTGTTAGAGTTTGCAAATTGAGGTTTTGCTGTGTTGAACATGGTCCCCAGTCAGTCAATATGTTCGTGTTTTCTGCGGAGGCATGCAGGAAAAATGAAGTTTTCTTCACAAATTCACAAACAACACATTATGACTAACTAATTTACAAATGGTCATTTTGTAAGTTAAGTATTTCTTTAAATTACTAATTGCGTCACACTAGTCGTTGCAGAGCCTGTGACCACTATGCCTCATGAATTTCTGAAGGAAATTAAAGGCACATTACACAGAATCAAGCCATTCTTGTTGCTCCTGTTATGAAGGTGTCACTCATCCTGACTAATGACTTTATCACAAGGAAAAGCATTTAATCCTTAATCATATTATAAATAGCCACATGTACATCTGTGTATGTCTGACCAGGAATTGAATAAGTATTCGTTCTAACAGCTGTTAATTTCTGTTTAGTTAAAGTCGAATGTAATTTTTTCTTCTGTCTGCATGGTTTAGATGAAAGTCTTACTCAAGCAGCTTTGGTTCACTAATCATTTGTTTGTGCGTCTCGTCTACGTCATGTTGGACTTGGCATGGTTGTATTTCAGACTGTTATTTTTGCCACATGAAGCCAAGTGAACAAAACGTTTTCCACGTTCTTCAGTGCGACCCCTTTAAGGTTGTGATCTTATTGTTGACAGTGGCACTACTTTTCCAACTGAGCACTCGGGTTGCATGATTCTTGTGTCTGCTGTTTGACGCTGGCCTTTCTGTCGAGCTAGTGGCCGAGCTTGTCTTCCTGATAAAATCTCTCAACACAGTGCTGTCGGACAAGATCTGTATGTAAAGCATGTTATCCGTTCAGTAGTTTCATCTAAAGAACTCCATCAGACCAGCACTCGCTCATGAACATACTGAACGCTATCTGCCAAGGCACATCGTAGGCAACTTCAAGTCCCAGTATGTACAGACATTTACCACATTTGTAAAGATCAACTAAATTCTTAGGTCAACACAACATTTGAGACACGTTAAGTTTTTGTCAGATACATTAACACTACATGAACGCCAGCAAGTATTATCACTCACAGTGCTGCTAAGTCCTTACATGAACTTGTCATAGTGCTTTCCTGTAAGTCAGAACGTCTTCATAGACAGTAACAGTGTTTTGTATTGTCAGTTGCTTATCTGTGATGCACACAGAGGATTTTAAAGCAAAACGTGTGACACTGTAAATGTTTTGTGACAGTGTGAATAACTCGAGGAGCTTCTTCATGTACGTTAGCAGTTGATTTTAGCTCATTTGGTAAAAACATTTTAAACACAGACATCGATTTATTAATGTTACGAAATTCCATCTCAGCACCAATAAAAAAAAAAGTTGTCTCTGTAAAATGTTTCTTGTCATAAATCTGATAACCATGTGTTTAATCTCAACTTGATTCTGCCTCTCACATAAAAAATATTGTGGTTATTTAATATTCAGGCAAAGATTCTGAGAATACTCTCCTAGCTCATAACTTAGCCATAAAAAATTCTAGTAAGGAGTCGTAGCCCTGAGCAAGGAAGAGACAGACACTTTTATCTTAGTGAGAAGGTGTGGTTGACCCCAGTGCTAGGTATGATGGATTCTTTTAACAGATGTGATTGGTTGTCAGTGCCACGCCCTTTAGTGAGCCTGCAAGGTGTGGACACCCAGTGGAAATGAAATGAACTGCAGACTGTGAAAGTGTTGTCACTGTTAGTGTGATCACTCTGCTGATGGAAGGTTGAGACAGACCCAAGACATCACTGCTGGATTTTTCCAGTTTTCCAAGTATCTTAGTGTTGTAATCATTTTATTTCTGGTGTCATAGCGTAAGTTGGGAAAAGTGATCCCTAATGACATCAACCACACATATTATCCATGCACGAGCTATTCTGTAGCATTTCATTTGCTCACTGTCATTCTGCGTTAGGAGAATATTTCTACAAACTTTGTGTTTCCACCATTTTCTCCTCTGATGAAAAAACTCTTAAGCCTCTTAAAAGTCCCCCTCCTGCTCCGTACAGTTTCTCGCCTTAGGAGGTCTTTTAAGTAGTGTATGACTTATCTTTACAAGGACCTAGTCTTAACTTTAAGGGAAATTTCTAAAAAAAACATCACAATTCCACAAACTCTTTGTAAGCTTTGTGAATAAGACCCCAGATTTACTAGTGTTAACACAGAGCGACAACTATAGCTGAACAGGCAAGACATTTTTATTTCAATGTTCAAACCACTGTGCTGGGTGTGTGAATTCTACAACCAGGCCACATCCGGTACAAACACCTGAGGCCATATTCACGAAGCTTTCTCGTACAAAGAGTTGCCCCAGGTGATGAAATTCTAAGAAAAATCATGTTCTATGAATTTCCCCTTAGAGTTAAGACTAAATCCTTATACAGATAAGTTATTCACAAAGCATCTTAGCCCTTTAGAGAGCTCCCAAGGTGAAAAACTGTGGAGCAGGGAGGAGGACTTTTAAGGAGGGGAGAAAATGGTGAAAAGGAAAAGAAGTAAGAGAAATACTCTCCAAAGGCTGAATGACTGTGTTTATGAAATGCTAGAGATAAGTTGGTGCAGGAAGGAAGTTTGTGGTTGATCTCATTAAAGATTTTCACACACATCTCCCAACCAATGCAGTAATGAACACTTGAAAGTCATAGCAAGATATTTTAGACCTGGAAAAACACAGGCTCATAAAAGGACAACCAATCACATCTGTTAAAGGGATACATCATACCTAACAACAGGGTCAACCACACCTCCTCAGTAAGGTAAAAGTTTCTGTCCCTTCCTCACTCAGAGTTGCTCTGCGAATTTTCCTAAATCACTCCTAAGCTAAGACTCCTCGCTCAATTTTTTGAAGCTAAGTTAGGAGCACTCAGAGAATTGACTGTCCAAACCAGGGTTGGAAATTTGCAGCCACCAGCCAAATACTGGTAAAACATGCAAGTGGCTGCTAGATTCTCTTCACTCACCAGCCAAAAAACCCCAACAATCTTTATCTATTCAGTGGCTGTTAGATTTTGGAATCAAGCAGCCACAGTGGCAGCTGAACAAAAAAAAAAAAATTTCCACACCTGGTCCAAATAATGTTACGTGTTGGTTGGTTCCTGCTGCTTTCGTTGGACTGGAAAGTCTCGGTCCAGCAGGTGACGATCTCACAATGCACACAGCACGGTGGGACCAGTTCAGTTGCACATATTCATAACAAAATATGCAATGCAGCAGTCCTTTTATGTGACTGTAAAAAATCAAACATAACAACATAACACCATATTGTCCAGTGATTATACAATAATCCGCTCTCCCTCTCGGGCTCTCACTCCTGTGACGCTGCCATCTGGGCAAGATATTTGCCCGTCATCTCCTTGGGGAGCGGCTTGGTGCCAGGACACGGCACCTGGCCCTCCACCTCACAGATACACTCCTTCAGACAGTACTTTTTGGGCCCAAAGTTGGCGGGGTTAGAGAACTGCATCCTGGCTAGGGCCTCAGCTTGTAACACTTCTCTGTGAACAGAAAGGAAATGAGATAAATATATTTTCAGATCATCTGGTCCCTGCAGTAATGGGTCTTTTTCACAGACGATGTTTTGATACGTCAGGGTAGGAAAAGAACAGGTGTAAATATTTAAAAAAGTTTACAGTTAACGTTGGCTTAACTCTACTGGGAGGTTGCAACAGCTGTCTCGTCAACACTGTGGCATTTTGCTACAACAGATGACTGTGACATGGCTTACGTGTTATTTTTACCTGGTCTTACAAGCTGAAGTTTTAATTAAGTGATACGGTTTTCCTAAGTTATTTTATCATGTAGTAAGTAAGTAAAAGAAAAATTATATCCTCATTACTCACAACCTTTGAACATGGTTCACTGTCACATTTTCATTTTCAACATACAGTATGTAATCAAAAGTATCTAAAACTTGATTTATTTAAAATTACCAAGCCCTACAATAAATATAATCATGCAGACGTCATTAAACACACCCCACACTCATCTCACAATGACTTCAAATATCTTACAATAACTTACTCTGATTTGCCTAAAATCTTCTTTACATGTTGTGAAATTTGCTTGTGGTCCTTCCCTTCCACATCCACCACAACTTGCTCCCCGTCGTCTGCAAATGAGACAAAGGAGATCAGCCCAAGCTTGACATCATACACAATAATAATAATATTAGCACAAGGTTCAGTTAACTCTCATTCAAACATGTTAAAAAACACGAAGGAACAAAATTCGTGACCCAGGTCCAGCAGCGCACAGAATAAATAACATTAAAGATAGACCTATAATAAATAGTTAAATAACCTAATAGTCTATAATAAATACAACAAATAGTTAAAAAAACAAGCAGCGTGTTAAAGTGCCTAATAGTGCATCAATAGCTAAGAAGAAGACAAAGAAGAAGAATGGCTACACACCCAGGTAGAACTTCAAGAATGGTGATGGCGTCATATTTTTGAACATCATTATTTGGAGCCACTGGTTTTTGTACTGAATCTGAGGAATACTGAAGAACACAAACTTTCTGCAAAACACAAAGAGAAACACAGTTTAAGAAACGCTTCACCTGACAGGCGGTCTCACTTTACTTAGATAGTACACTGCATTTTTTTAAGAATAAAACTTCAACACATGGTGCTTTTTTAAAATTCCAAATGGACCAAACCATAAGTGCCTATTCCACACTCCTTTTTTAATACTTGTTGTCATAGCAGTGGTCTTAATGGATTAACGATTAAAGGGAGTTTCCTAAAGTTATTTAATTTAGCCAAAGAAACTGAAAAGCATACAGTGAGGTTGAAAAGTCTGAGACCTCTAGCCAAGATATTTCTATTTTGCCTTTATTTATTTTATTTATTTATCTTTCTATTGCAAATGATAACATCAGCTTAACAATTTGAGTGAAAAGTTGAATGCAAAGTTGAAAGTCAGTCAGAACTGCTTGATCTTCTGTGGTCTCCATGGTAAATGGAATGAACATGTATTGCGCCTTTCTGGTCTTCTAACAACTCAAAATGCTTAAACACTACATGCGACATTCACCCATTCACAAACACTTTCATAGACTGGTGGCAAAGGCTACCATACGAGGTGCCACCTGCTACTCCGTTAACCACTCACATGCGCTCACAAACCTATGGCACAGCCATCGGGAGCAGTTTGAGGTTCAGTAGGCCTATCTTGCCCAAACACACTTTGACATGCGGACTGAAGGAGCTGGGGATGGCGAACAACCTGCTAGACCTCCTGAACCAAAGCCAGTCAAGTAGCTATTACAAAGCATGAAGTGTTCCAGTTCCATGCACGCCCCCTTAGAAACCTTTAGTCTAGCCAAGACTACATGCATAGAAGCCCCTCTTGGCTTGAAATAACAATTTGATTTCTGACACTTTTACTTTGCTCTGATGTTGTGTTTCTCACTATCACCATGCTACTTAGAAAGCGGCGATGTGCTGGAAACTTGAGGAACAGCAATATTTGTAATAGGTGAACACTGACTGCAAGTTGAGGTACTTAAATGAGACTCAGGAAATAAGATCAAATCCAGTGTCATCTGAATGCATCAGTGAAACGGCTACAACTCAACGAAATCTGACCTTTTGCACACAAAAAAAAGCTAAGTTGGTCAATGTCACAAATTTAATTAAATTTGATTGTTGACCTATAAATGTTGCAGGATCTTAAATACTGCTTCTTCATTTTACAAGTCGTAACTTCTTGTGCTTTTATGTTTCTGAATCTGCAAATTTCCTGATTATTTCCAAGTTTCTATGAAAATATTTAACATTTTTAATGTGGTCTCAGACTTTTGACCGCAGTGTCTCTCGTGATCTTTGAACATTGTCTCAGGTATTTACCTTCTGTAATAATTACGTAGCTGTTAAAATGCTTCAGGGATTCACAGACGCATGCATGCATACTACTGCTACCTGTGTTAAGTTTTTAAATGTATGTGTTTAAACGTTTAAAAGTTCATTTGCTTATTAAGCAGGAGGTGGAGGGAAAATCAATACAGCATAGTATCACAATATTTTTGTGTGGCAATATTTTATCGTGACATGTACGCCAAGAATCGATTTCTTATTAGCCTATAGAAATTATTGAAATAAAAAATAAAATAAAATATTGCAAATACACATTGCCTACTAGAATAATGAAATCAATTGCTATTTTCAGTCCACTAGATATATTTTGCTGCAATAAAAATGACTGAATTGAGATGTACAGAATGAAAAAAAGTATATATATATATATATATTTTCCTTTGGGGACATAATTTGCAGTTGGAAAAAAGGTAATAAATAGCAATATACAGTACAGGCCAAAAGTTTGGACACACCTTCTCATTCAATGCGTTTTCTTTATTTTCATGACTATTTACATTGTAGATTCTCACTGAAGGCATCAAAACTATGAATGAACACATGTGGAGTTATGTACTTAACAAAAAAAGGTGAAATAACTGAAAACATGTTTTATATTCTAGTTTCTTCAAAATAGCCACCCTTTGCTCTGATTACTGCTTTGCACACTCTTGGCATTCTCTCCATGAGCTTCAAGAGGTAGTCACCTGAAATGCTTTTCCAACAGTCTTGAAGGAGTTCCCAGAGGTGTTTAGCACTTGTTGGCCCCTTTGCCTTCACTCTGCGGTCCAGCTCACCCCAAACCATCTCGATTGGGTTCAGGTCCGGTGACTGTGGAGGCCAGGTCATCTGCCGCAGCACTCCATCACTCTCCTTCTTGGTCAAATAGCCCTTACACAGCCTGGAGGTGTGTTTGGGGTCATTGTCCTGTTGAAAAATAAATGATCGTCCAACTAAACGCAAACCGGATGGGATGGCATGTCGCTGCAGGATGCTGTGGTAGCCATGCTGGTTCAGTGTGCCTTCAATTTTGAATAAATCCCCAACAGTGTCACCAGCAAAACACCCCCACACCATCACACCTCCTCCTCCATGCTTCACAGTGGGAACCAGGCATGTGGAATCCATCCGTTCACCTTTTCTGCGTCTCACAAAGACACGGCGGTTGGAACCAAAGATCTCAAATTTGGACTCATCAGACCAAAGCACAGATTTCCACTGGTCTAATGTCCATTCCTTGTGTTTCTTGGCCCAAACAAATCCCTTTTGCTTGTTGCCTCTCCTTAGCAGTGGTTTCCTAGCAGCTATTTGACCATGAAGGCCTGATTGGCGCAGTCTCCTCTTAACAGTTGTTCTAGAGATGGGTCTGCTGCTAGAACTCTGTGTGGCATTCATCTGGTCTCTGATCTGAGCTGCTGTTAACTTGCCATTTCTGAGGCTGGTGACTTGGATGAACTTATCCTCAGAAGCAGAGGTGACTCTTGGTCTTCCTTTCCTGGGTCGGTCCTCATGTGTGCCAGTTTCGTTGTAGCGCTTGATGGTTTTTGCGACTCCACTTGGGGACACATTTAAAGTTTTTGCAATTTTCCGGACTGACTGACCTTCATTTCTTAAAGTAATGATGGCCACTCGTTTTTCTTTAGTTAGCTGATTGGTTCTTGCCATAATATGAATTTTAACAATTGTCCAATAGGGCTGTCGGCTGTGTATTAACCTGACTTCTGCACAACACAACTGATGGTCCCAACCCCATTGATAAAGCAAGAAATTCCACTAATTAACCCTGATAAGGCACACCTGTGAAGTGGAAACCATTTCAGGTGACTACCTCTTGAAGCTCATGGAGAGAATGCCAAGAGTGTGCAAAGCAGTAATCAGAGCAAAGGGTGGCTATTTTGAAGAAACTAGAATATAAAACATGTTTTCAGTTATTTCACCTTTTTTTGTTAAGTACAGAACTCCACATGTGTTCATTCATAGTTTTGATGCCTTCAGTGAGAATCTACAATGTAAATAGTCATGAAAATAAAGAAAACGCATTGAATGAGAAGGTGTGTCCAAACTTTTGGCCTGTACTGTATTTTATGGCAGCATGCTATAATACTGTATCTTGAGTTAGGTATCATGACAATATTTTATAATGAGGCCTCTGGTGATTCCCATCCCAATGATTTAGTATTATTTTGGGAAGAAAACAGGTGCTGGTGCTGAACAAAATGGACGGAATTACTCCCAAAGTACCAGAGTACTTTGGATGTTTTGTGCATGAAATTCAAAGTGACAGTTACCTTGCTGGATAAAAGGAAGATTTAATATGAGGGTAAAATCAACTTAACAAAACAAAAATGACATTTTCTGAACTTCAACAGGCCAAACAATTAACAGGACAGTCTATGACTCGAGAAAATAATGACATAGTTATAGACAGTGGGAATAATCATCAGTTAGATATATAATTACACCAGACCTTTAAGTCAATGACACTTTTCATAGTAATACAACGTCATATGTATAGGTATTTTATGAAATATTAAAATGTTAAACTCAGACTGACAGAATTATGCATGCACACTGCCGCTGCCTGTTCCAGTGTGGTGGCACTTCACATGTTTTTAAGACACATCTGCAGTGTTTTAGCTGTATGATGAGTCTTAGCTAATGTTAGCTGCTGTTAGCTCTGACCTTGCTCCTTCGCTGAGCTCTCCATGTGTGTTGTAATTGACCGTCATGATCTTCACTCTGTTTTTAAAGATGATGTCGCCCTTCTGGAGGTACTCCAGAGTCCTCCTGATGGGAAACCTTCCTTTCATAGGCATTTTAAAGTCCTTTTTGAGTCACAAAATACCATCTAACAGTGGTCTGTACACCAGAGTCGCACGCAGTAGCACACGAGAGGCGCCTTTTGATGACGTCAAAAGTCGTTGTCACAGCAACCTAGGAGCGATCAGGAAGTTGAACCAGAGATATCTCGTGGTATGGAGGATATTATAATCATCTACAGAAAGCAGAACAAAATCAATATTATTAACCTGGCAAAAAGAAACGGGCAACATTAAATGAAATAAATAGGAAAGAAGTTAGGGGAGTATTTGGATTAAACAATTATTTTTTGTGATTGAATGATTTATTTTATTTATTTAAAAGGGACCATGTACAATTCAAAACATAAATGTTACCAACTAGGCTATGTAGCACCATTTTGAGTTACTAGTTACTCCTCAACACTGGAAATCAACATCAATTTTGTAACAGAAAATATGGAAATGTCCATATTTATATATTTCCCCCAAACCACCCATTTTGCACATTTCTCAATTTTCAAGGGCTAGTAATGAAAAATATGACGTCTGCTTGTGTCTTTCAATCATGTGGATCTATTGCACATCGTTTTGTCTATGGCCTTACTAAATGTCACGGCTCCAACAACTCTCTGAAGACAGTGAACCCTAAAAATGGCCTTTCACCAAAGAAGACATTTATTAATATGCGAAAATGCCAGAATTCTTTGACAACGTTCTTTTTATTTACTTATTTTTGTTAGGATGTGAAATTTGACAAAATTCATTTTTAATTTTTTTTTAGGGTGCGAAAATGCCAGAATTCTTAAAAATAAAATTTAAGGTGCAAAAATGACAAAATTCTTTTAAAAAAAAATTAGGGTACTAAAATGACATTCTTTAAAAAAAAAAAAAAAAAAAAAANTGAAAATGACAAAATTCTTTTTTAAAAAACTTTTAGGGTGCGAAAATGACTAAATTCTTTTTATTTTTTATGCCAGAATTCTTAAAAAAAAAAATGAAGGTGCAAAAATAACAAAATCCTTTTAAAAAATCTTTTAGGGTGCAAAAATGACAAAAAAAAATGTATTTCTTTTTAGGATGTGAAAATGACAAAATTCTTTTTAAAAAAAATTTTAGGGTGCGAAAATGACAAAATTCTTTTTATTTTCTATGCCAGAATTCTTAAAAAAAAAATGAAGGTGCAAAAATGACAAAATTCTTTTAAAAATTTCTTTTAGAGTGTGAAAATGACAAAAAATAAATAAATTTCTTTTTAGGATGTGAAAATGACAAAATTCTTTTTTTTAAAAAAATAAATTAGGCTGCGAAAATGACTAAATTCTTTTTATTTTTTATGCCAGAATTCTTAAAAAAAAAAATGAAGGTGCAAAAATAACAAAATCCTTTTAAAAAATCTTTTAGGGTGCAAAAATGACAAAAAATAATTAATTTCCTTTTAAGATGTGAAAATGAGAGAATTCTTTTTCTAAAAAAAAATTTAGGGTGCAAAAATGACAAAATTCTTTTTATTTTTTATGCCAGAATTCTTTAAAAAAAATGAAGGTGCAAAAAAAAATAAATTTATTTTTAGGATGTGAAAAAGACGAAATTCTTTTTAAAAAAACAATTTAGTGTGCGAAAATGACAAAATTCTTTAAAAAAAAAAATTAGGGTGTGAAAATGACGAAATCTCTACCTTTCCACCTCTCACTCAGTGCAAGCTCGAATAGGCTCCAGCCCCCCATGACCCCCAACAGGATCGGTAGTTATGAAAGATGAATACATGAATAAATAAAAACTAAGCAAATCTCATAATTCAGCAGGAATGTTTCATTAAAATTTTCCACATCAATAATAGCACATACATAAAGTTAAAACAAAATCTAAAATATAAACAAAAAACATCTATCTGATTTGAGAGTGAATGATCCCACTGGTCATACTTTCAGTTCAGCTGTGATATCTGGGTATTAGCACACAAACTCAGTCATGTCATATTTCATAATTAATTGTTTATTTCTTTTATAGCGTGTGGCTTCAAAGAGGCCAGCCTCAGAGACTGGAATGCTGATACGTGAGCTCAGTCATAGATACATTTGTTTTATATCTCCATTGGTGTGAGGTAGAAATGTGGGGTTGTGACAAACTTGAGCAAAACATGAATGTTTTCTCTCAATCCCGATGTTTGAAGAAACACATTTTACATGAGCAGAAAAACAAAGTACATTTATATAGTATAAAATGTTTAACCGTAAGATACTCAATCCACAAAGCTGAAAAAAAGTGACTTAAGATCTGTTAATGTAGGAGCTGCTCATGGTAAATATTTTAAAGCCACAACATTTAAATTAACATGTTTCATACAGCATTTAATAAAATGCACTTAAGCAACTTCTTCATGCACTGCAATGCACTATAAAATTTATAACAATGCTCCTTATTAGGGCAGACAGCCACAAGATTATAAAACTCGGCTTAAAAACAACATGCACTCATTTTAATGAAACTACATGTACAAAGGTCATTTCACAACAGTGCCTTTACAAACAGTCTGTGTAGGTTTTAAACCCCAAATATTACAATTGACATTTATTTCACAAGACATACTCCTTGTTGATTCCTTTACATTCCCGTTATCGTTCATGTTGCTGTGGATGCGTATTCTGAACCATTATAAGAGTGTGTGAGCCGATGCATATTGTCTTCATACAGTCCTCGAGACATCAACACACTCCACACTGGCTTCCCAGATAATCCTGTTGGTTTTTAAACCAGGGAAACCGGCCCAAAAGTACTTTAAGTACACTTAGTATGCAACAAGCAAATCTGTTCACAACAAATAAAAGTTTTTAGAAAACATAAAAAACAAAGTTTTAGTCAGCATGAACACAGTGGAACGCCACAAAAGCTGATTGATGTGCACTTAGCAGAGTACAAATGCAAACACAAGTACAAAAACAGTAGCATAGCTACACATAAGTAATATTTCTGAACACAAAATCTTTAAGATAGTCTAACTTCTTAAAAGAAATAACTGCCATTAATAAATACACGTACAAAATGCAGATTGAGAAGAACTGCCATGACACTCGCCGATGGAACAGGAGGAAGTAACATATAATTGATTGTCGTAAAGGGAAAAGTGATGAGGTGATTGCACGGGTTATATTAGCAACATATTCACGTTAATGCAGATATGAGTGTACCGAAACATACAAACACTCCCAAAGATAAAACCTCTGAGACGTCATGCAGTATTAAAAAAGAAACATGGTCAGTTAAACTAACTTGGCTGACGTGACTTTGTGAATGTGAGTTAAAAGTGAAACTGAACAAAATCAGACGGTCGTGTTGTAATGCACTGTGTGGTACATAAATGTTATGAAAGTCAGTCCGTATGAATATAGATTATGGATTATTTAATTGAGGTTTGAGTTAGTTTCTGTACCTGATCTGAGTTCTCCCTCAAAGTACTATTTAAAATGTATTGAAAGTAAAGAGCTGTACATTAATGTCTCGCACCTTTTAGGAAATGAAAAGAGAGAAAACGATTAAAAAGCATGTTTCTATTCACTCTTTTATGACATTCACAAAAGTCTGAATTCTCAATTTTAGCAGCACAGTGAGCTTACAGAACAGTACTGCACAATGTTCCCAAATACCAACATATACAAATGCTTTATAGCTTCGGAGCACACTTTTAAAGTAAGTACTCAGATCTACTTTAGTCCTCAGACTTAAAGCTCGGTTAAAAGACTTCAGTTTGAACCTGCTGACACAGCTCATCTGTTACCTGCAAGCTTACGTTAAACTATGTAAGTGATCAACATGACAGCATGGTAAGGCTTCCATAAGACTAAAACAATCTGAAAGGCTTCGGTCAGAAGGTAAAGTTCATATGTAATTAGCTTGAAGTGCTATAAAGACATTAAAGGAGACGAGCACAGTCACAGCTGCGGAGAATTCCTTTTCTATTTTGTTCTGAGTTTAAAACCAGAAATTCAGCATCACCACACTGCGTCAGCCCCAGAAACATTTCAAGTGTCATCCTGGTTTCCCAATCCCAGATTATCTTAATCCACCGAGTATTCCTGAATGACTTCGCACCATGCATTGCTTAAAAAACCAAGGGGCCACTGCAGGATTGTGGACTGGGTTTTAGCTGTAAACCCCACGAGAGACAAAGAAGAGTACCTGATGTGGAGACTCTGTAATCTTTAATTCAACAGTTCTGGGTGCTGGAGTGATACGGGGGGCTGTCACTCTGTAGGGTCAGAGTCCTGGCTGTTATACTCAGCCGTCTCCATCTTGAGGATGTAGGGAATGATGCTGTCAATAGAGACGTTACCTATCAAGCCGGTGAAGAAGAGCTCCTCGGTGATGCCGGAGTTCATGAGGCGCAGGGCGGGGAGACGAGTCAGGATACGAGTCAACCTGGGGAGACAAACACAAAACAAGGTTATCTTCATATCTAAAGATGATCCATACTGTGCGTTCACAGTGTCAAAGTCTTCAGGAGCCAAATTTATCAGCCAGACTGATGCCTAAATTAAATTATTTATATTTATTTGTTGTACTTGAGACCATTCATTCTATGGCTTGGATGTTCCACATTTGACCATAAGTGTGTAATGCAGTGTGGGGCTCACACCAGTCTTGTCTTGGTCTTCAGTTGGTCCTGACTAGGGATGTTCCTGGTGACTAATTTCCCTGTCGACTAAGTGAAAGTTTTAATTAAGACTAGTCGACTAGTCTAAAATAAGGTCTTGGCACGGTGTATTCAGGCGCAACATATTCCGTTGACTTCCTGAAGCTTTTACCTTCAACAAAGTTAAGTAGAAGCATATCTTGCGAAGTCATTGTCATGATGAGCTGCGTTATCGTCTCAGACAGGGCAGGATCACAGTGTCTCTGGGTGAATGATGTCATATTGGGCTGTGTGTGGCTAGCACCACTAGCAGCAGCAGCCGTCGTTCCAAGCAGGTTAAGATCCAAATGCTTGAGTTGAATGTGGTTGCATATTACTGCAGTTGAGT